TCCATGGATGGTCTGAACAGGGTGAGGGAGAGCCGGGAGGGGGGCGCTGGAAACGTGCCCCGGGGGAAGCAGGCGGCTGGAGGACCTGCTCTGACTCAGACCCTGCTGGCTCAAGCCTGTCCGGGCTTCGAGGAGGCCGTGGAAGGGGTTCGCTTCATCGCCAACCACATGAAGAGTGAGGATGATGATCAGAGTGTGAGTATCATATTCTGTTTGTTACCATTTACAGCATCACAGTGGTAATCTCTGTTGCCTCGACCAGTACTAGACTAGTAACAATCAGATCAGTGATATAAAGGATCATAACTATCTTGGCTGAGATTTATTTTCCTACATATTCAAATTACCCAAGTTAACATTTTAAAGAGTAAAGCTCTACTACAGATACAGTACTAGTACAAGTTTATCAGAATTGACAGTAAATTAAATATAGCAGTTGTGTTTAATTCAAGTTTGGTTAATGATATGCTCCTCTAATACATTTTATCATACTAAGAATGCACACATGACAATAAGAAACTTGAAACTTGAATTAGTGACTGTTTAATGTAAAAGCTGTAGTCACAAACACTCAGAGATGGGTGTTGGGTGGTTCAGTTTGCCCACTTCATTATGACACACGGAAACAAAAATAAAAATTCAGATTAACTCCTGTTTGGTACCTGTCCAGCAGTCAACAAAGACAGACACGTATTTAGGGATTTGAGTAAGTATACTGGAGCACATGCTCTGCTGATACATTACCGCTCTACTGTGAGAGTCCTGGACAGACCAGCAATCATTTGTGAGGCAGTTGAAGCACAACAGACCAAACATCCTCATTAACACAGACGGGCACAGTGAGTGATTAGCTGATGAACACAGTGGAGCATTTAGCAGCTAAAGAGACAGATATTCCTGGTTTGTATAAACTAAAACAGCTATGAATGAATATTGTACTAAATATTGTCAGGTAGCCAAAAACAAAAATGCTAATGTGGTGCCATGACTGCTGGATTTGCAAATAAGCAACAGTTAGCTAATACGTTCACTAAATCAATTTTATGATCCAATAATGTCAATGTTTGTTTACAGCTTTTTGCTCTGTGTCCAAGTTGTCCTAAAAAAGAGCCCTAAATGTAAGCTTAAATAACTAAACACATAAAAAAAATGTTTAACTAGATTATTTAAATGAAACACAAAAACACAAAGTGATGGCGAGGCCAATAAATCCTTTATTGCTGTAGTTTACAGCTTTGCACACTCTTATACAGATATACCTGTAATACACAGTTACCAGACTGCTGATGTATCACTTGGGCTGCTCTCCATTTTAAAACAAATATATTATCTTGTCTCTCTGTGGATAAAATCATAGCATAAATTATTCTACTTTATCTGCACATTACAAGCCATTAAAAGCATCATGAGCCGCACAGATTTGTCCTTTCAGGGTATCAAGTTATAGAGACGATCAAGCGGAGCAGCTCTGCCATTTTAAACGCATGGGGGAATACACCAGAGCATAAGCAAGGGAGACAGATCTGATGACGTAATCATATCTCTCTGAATATTCAACACAGACATGTAATTATAGCGGCGGCGGCATGACGTGTGCATAGAGAAGGAGTACAACAGGAGAAGTGCAGGAATGGAGGAACCACAACGGTTTATCTCTTATCCTCAAGACATCTTAGGGGACCAGCCCTGAATGAAAGAAGCCGACATGGGAAATAATAATCCTCCGTTATTCTGTCCGTCATCCACATTGTTACCATCCCGTTGCCATGTGAACTGCTGTATAAAAAAACACCTTCTCCTGCCTCAGTTTACCCTCCCCCTCCTCCTCCTCCAAGTCATCATCTCAGGGGTTTGAGTATCAGCCCCCTTTCTTTCTGCCCTCCATCACTTTCTCAACTCTTCTCCTCCTCATCAGAGTCTCGGCTCACTGGGAGAGACAGGGGGGGAGTTAGAGAGTGAACGGTGGGTTTCTACTCCTTTTAATCTGTTTCTCCACCCCCTCCTGACCTCTTTTGTTCCTCTGTATCCACAGGTGAGCGAGGACTGGAAGTACGTTGCCATGGTGATTGACCGCCTCTTCCTGTGGATCTTCGTGTTTGTGTGTGTGTTCGGCACGCTGGGCATGTTCACTCAGCCGCTCTACCAGAATTACACAGTCAAGACCATCACCAGCTCGCCAGGCTGACCGTCTGCAGGCCGAGGACACGCCCACCTGACAGCCCCTCCCCCCCCCGGCCAATCAGCACAGCAGGACAAAAGGCCAGAGGTGGGGCTGGGGTTGCGGGGGGGCGGGGCTGGGTGGTCTGGGTTTTATTGTGTCTCTTGAACTGAAAAACCAGGACTAGAACTGAACAGCAATCACGCCCATTACCTTTATAGTAACGTTTTTGCAACGAACAAGGAAAACACAATCATACTCTTACCTGCAGTTTTTAGGCCAGATGTTTAATGGACTGACCTCCCTTTTCTGCTGGAAAGGTGCCTCCCTGCTCTGCTCTCCACTCAGTTATGGAGAGAGGATTTACTCCTCGTCGAACCTTACGCCAGCTTATTAACAGTTTCATCTCGAAACTGTCTGCTTATCGACACATGACATGCCCTCCTTCAACTATGACATTACACATTCTCAACATTGACTGATGTCAGAGGGAGCTAATCAGAAAGGGAAGGATGGTTCATATCAAGGTTCTTAAAGGTTTATTTTCTTTTTTGAAGTCACTACAGAACTGATTCAGTATATTTTACCATAGCATAGCAGATTACCACAGTATAGCATTAGTAATATATTATTACAATTTCTCTATGTGTTAGCTGATGCAAGGGTGAGATGCTGAGACAGAGGATAAGGTGTGTTGTATGATTGTATAGATTAAACAAGAATGTGATACAAACTGTACTACACAGCCTGTGGTGCGCACACAAACACAACATGTGTACAAGCAACAGTTTTAGGATAATACAGAGAGGGGACTTTAATTAAAGACAGAGTGAGGTTGCATTATTCAGTGAGAGGATAAAGTAATAGATGCATGGACAGAGTTATGCACATTAAGTAGAAGACAACAGGAGCCAGGGAGCCCAGCTGCTATGAGATGAGTTCAGCTGCAGAGAAACTGTGGAATCTGAGCCAAGATGGTGGACAGGACCACCTCTATGATGGACAGCGGAGCATGATTTCCCTGAGATGGAGTTTCCCGAGCTCAGTAGAGATGGAGTAAATATCAGTGTTTGGAAAAGTAACGTTTAAATCAAATTATATTGATTGAAGAAAGGGAATTCTATCATGGAAATGAAGCTATTATGTGTGTTAATATGTCATTTCATATTTCAGTATGTAATGTTCTGAGCATATGTATGCGCGTGTGTATGTATGTGTATGCGTGCCCCACATCCCGATGCATCACATCTGCCAGATTCCATGTTCAGAAGATAAACTGTATGTGTGTCTTCCCCTCCTTTCTATTTATATCTGGCAACCTCTCTCCAGTTTACTCTCCTCTATCTGGTCTTCCATGGACAAACACATTTCTGACATTTAGTCCAATTAGAATAATGGTTACCTACTATCTCTATTCACTACAGTAGTTTTCCTTTTCAGCACAGACTGGCTGATTCTTCTTACTCCCATGTTCCCTTACAACCAAGCGAGAAGCAAAAGGCCTTTTCAGGCATGCAGGGAGTGGGGGGTGAATTAAAATTTAAATAAACAAGAGAGAAATGACAAGAGGGCCGAAGCTGAGGCAGTCGCACTAGGCAATAAGTTGCAGATGCAGGATAAAGAAGAACAGATATGTAATATTGCAAATGTTTTTGACTATATAATAAGGTTACAGACTGAATAAAAACAGGATAATATCACCAAGCAAGCACAATCCAGATAGCGAGGAGGAATAAAGAGGGATAGGCGGAGACAAAAGACTGTTAGTATTGTTACACCATGGAAAAGCCACTATAAACTCTGGAGAAATGCTGTCTAATCCTCAGTCACTTGCTGCAAGATTCCTCGGCTTTTAACGGTTGCGTGGCCAAGTCTGCAGCTCAGCTCTGTTCGGGACTGGGAGCTCTCTCTTTCTGTCTCTAGAGGATGGGATTACCCTGGGGGGGGATTCCTGACAGATCCCGAACAAGTGTGAAAAGCCTATCAGAGACCTGTGAAAACTGTAGCCTGCATGGCTCCACATGGACAAAGTGCTGCTGTCCACTCTCTCTCTCTCTCTTTGACCTTTCCACTCTCCTTCATTTCTTCTCACTTGCTTTCTCATCATGCTCCCCCATATTTCACCCTTCTCCTTCCTGACTCAAATCTGCTCCTGTGCACACCTTAACCAGTCCAATAAAGGTTGTAGGTTCAGATTAATCAAAGTGCGTTTGTGTGCCATGTTTTCTTTCTCTCTCTCTCCAACACACCCAAACATACCCTGTAGTCTGTAATTAAGTGTATTACTCAAACTTCCTCTCAATCATATACCACAGGATAGAAAGAAAGAAAGAGACGTTTCCTGGCTTTCTAATGTCCAGGCTGGTAACTTCCTTTTCATATACTCTCTCACACACACACACACACACACACACACACACACACACACACACACACACACACACACACACACACACACACACACACACACACACACACACACCTTCACACTCCTTTTGTGCTTTCTTTCTTCAGGGTTTTTAAACAATTATGGGTGTAGGGCCCAGATCACTTTACGTTTTTTCATTATTCTGCTTTAAAAACAGGAGTCTGTCCCTACATCTAAACACCAAATTACCTGATGAATATCACACCATATCAGAACTTAAACAACCTCCAATACTATCTATTTCATTATTACTATATAGATACGTCTTTGCCCAGGATTCATAGATGTGTCTCCATATCTATCCCCAATGCAGTAATCCTCTATCAGACTCAATTGAGGGCCACTTGCTGCCCCCTGGTGTCCATCATGTGTTCACACTCATCCTCTCTACTGTAATAAGTACAACTCACAGCGTTATGTTTGAGTCACATTTATTCTTTCCAGGGAGGTTTTTCTTTGCTTTGAATGTGTTACAAAATACATGAACAGAAAAAAAGAATGTAACAATGACAGGTGCTGAAATGGACTTAAACTCTCCAGATGTTCACATTGCAATAAATACTGTTAGGAATGGATTGATTGGACATTGCAGACAAATACACACACACCCAACATGTACTGCTCTAGTGACTATCATTTAATGTGTGAGAGTGTGTGTGTATTTGTGAAGTCCATGACAGGATGTCCTTCTCTCCTGTCCGAACTGTTTCCTCCCTGGAGCTTTTCGGGTGTTTTGCAGAGTGGACGTCCTTGTGCAGAGGGCGTGTTCACTTCTTCGTGGGCTTGTCGTTGAACTCCAGGAAGAAGTCGTTACAGGCCACGGTAAGAGCTCCGACCAGGATGATGAACTCAGTGAAATCTACCTCTCCGTCATTGTTGGAATCCAGGTCTCCCATTACCCTATCCACTGCCTCCTTATCCTGAGCGTTCTGCAGGAGAGAAAACAGAAATGAGGGGCTGAATCTATTTAACACATGAGTAACTTTGCATCTAGTTCTCCTCACTATCTCCTCTCTTACCCCCAGGTAGTTGCCGAGCTCTGCGGTGAGCATCTCTTTGAGCTCAGCCCTGCTCAGTGTGTATTTGTCCCCCTCGTTTCCAGAGTACTTGTGGAAGGTCTGGATCAAGAGCTGCATGGCGTTCTCCAGGGTGGAGGCGTTCTCTGGGTTGGGCAAAGACATTCTGTAGAAGGACAGAAAAGAAGGAGGGTTAGAGAAGGCGAGAGCAAGCAAAGTCCTGCCTGAATAAACTATTTGTAGCATGGAGTAAAAACGTGCTGGAATCAATCAAAATGCTTTTTTGGTTGCTCTCTGTCGCTCGTTGTCTCTTTATCCCTTCTAAGACACACTGCTAACTGAGATAGCTAGAAACAGATCCATTATGAGTTCAATCTATCTGGATAAAGCAGAGGTGGAGAGTCTGAAACCCTGCACAGCCCTGGAGGCAATTCGTTCCGTTTCCTCATCAAAAGTGTTTCCTCCCTGACAGTTGTCCTGATAAGATTCTGCTAGAGATTAAAATGATCCTCAATCTGTTTGTTGCTTTGCCCCTGCAAGAGGACCTCTGGGAGTCAGAACATAGACAGCAGCCGGACATGTGAGCCAGCTGATAAGAGTGAAACTCTAAGCTGGCGAAACAACCCAACCAGTGGAGGAGATGTAACCAGGACACGCAGAGGGAACCTGATCCGGATTTTACTTTAGCTCCACCGGACGGCAGAAAGAAAACAAAGACAGGTGTAAGTCTTTGCCTTTCCTGAACCTTCCTCACCTCTGAACTGTAAAAGAGTTTTCCTAACTTTCACTCACATCCTACATCAGTTTCTCAATGTGGACACAATGTTACAAAGTGTCATGGATCAACAGAATGACAAAAACTTATCAGAGACATTTTTGGTAAGCTTTGTTCAAGATACACAAAGGATTCATATCTTATCCTAAAAACACAGAAAGCATCTTTGTTGATGAATTGCACAAGCACATCCAACAAGCAGTTCACCTACAGATAGCATCGTGTATTGGATGCACCCTCAAAAATCTACTTTAAGAGTAGAAATCGTAAGAAATAACGAAACAGAGACAGAGTTAAAGTCTGCCCCCTACATACTGTACATTCTTACCTGAATGGAGGGCGAGTGATGGCCTGCAGGTCAGGTGCAGAGAGAAGGCAAGAGCGAGTGATGAGGAGGATCAGCAGGACAACGTCTTAAATACATCACTCACTCCACCCATCCCACCTATCCCTTCCTCCCCTCTCCCTCTCCCTCCTTCCACCTGTCGCCCCCCTTCCCTCTCCCCCTTCTTCTCTCCTCCTTCTCTGTTTACGCATAAGACACCTGCTATCCCCTAAAAAGACACAGGAAAGATCCACCTGCCCCCCTCGAGAAAGAAAAAAAATGGTACTATGACTACAGCATTAGGTCAATTGAAGTACCCATAATAAAAACACAAGCCCCACTAAAAACAATTGTGTAATTCACATCTAGACTCGTTATTGTACGGTAAGATAGAAGTTTAAATTGAGTTTGTGACTGATACAGTATCCAAAGGATTATTGTAGCACAGATGAATGGAGCCATCACACCTGGCAGCCATGCAGTGAAATCCCCATACAAAGACCGCAAAACACACACAAAGGAAAAGAACATGCTAATACACACACGCGCACACATGCAGGCACACTCACACATACAAACACACACACATTTTCAAAAAACACATACACACCTAAACCTCTAAAAAATGCAAGCAGTACAATGGATACAGAGAGAGCCAAAGGGCTTTGCATGAAAAGTAAAGGAAGAGCACAAATAAATTACATGAAAAAACATATGATCATGTTGAATGAATGTTCTTGAAGCTCATATTCTCTAAAGCAAACAACATCAACATTAATGCACGACCACTGCAGGATGTTATGAAATGTATGTTTGATCAGCCTTGGGGGTAAGTGCATCTTCATGTTAGTGTGCCGTCGCAGCAGTATATTGTGTCAGTGAATGGGGCGGCACAGTTTGTGTGCATATCTGTATGCGCCATATGTGTGTATGTATAGTGTTGCAGAGTGGAGGATGGTGAACAATAAGAAGCGAATACTATGTTCCAGGATCTGGTTGCAATAGTTGATGCATCTAAAGGCTGCTGAGTTTGACTAGTCAGGTATGTCACAGCTATATTTAGCAAGCGTTGCTGGTAGCTATGGAAGAAGCAGGTATCATTACAGCGGGAACCTGCGGGACAATGTCAAACCATATCAGGGAAACCACGAGACACATAGCTTATTCTGTTGGGTTTCCCAGGAGTATTTTATATTGGAAGTCAATGGGTACCGTCATCACTTAAACGATTAAATGAAAATGCAACTTAAGAAAGACTCTGAGACAGATAATATAGTTTCATTGTATAAAGCTTTTATTCTGAAAACACAGTGAGTATCTGGTATATAATTGGTATAAAAAAGACACTCCCATCTTAGAGTCCTTCAATGTGTCCTTGACAGTGGAGATCAATATGGTGTGAATGAAAAAAGGCTGATCTGGACATTAAGAGCATTACACAACTGGTTGATTAACTGAATGAAAAGTATGGACTGTTTTGAAAAAATGTATATCTGATGTTTAGCATTTAGAAATCAAAAAAATATACTTAAAAATCCTCCAAAATAAATGCTGCTCCCACAAACACTGTGGTTTAACATCTATGATGCATCTGCAGTGGCTCCAGTCTTGCTCGCACTGAGGGAGGAGGCCAGGTAGCCAATCAGAGTGAGGTATTCCTGGAAGCTGACCTTTCCATCATTGTTCGCATCCAATCCGGACTGCATCTCCTTAACGGCAGAGGAGCAGTTGGTATCCTGCACACAAAAGGAAAGACAGAATAAGATCTTTGAAAACTATCATATATTCTGATGAATAATCTGTACAGCAAAGAGTGTTGTCGAAAAGGCTAAACCTTCTTTAGTTCCTTACCTGCATTAGGCCACCAAGCTTGTTCTTTACCAGCTTCTGGAAGCCGCCTCCGTTTAGGTTCTCCTTCCCCTTGGTAGAACTTAGAAACGTGGTGACCACAGTCTTTATGGCTGACTCCATATCTAAAGAGAGAGAGAGAAGAGGCGCGTTCACACCAAGTACTTTTCCCACAAAGGTTCCTGAGAACTACGATTTAGTTGCGTTCACACCAAAAAGTCCCAGGAACTAAATTAGTTATAGAGAGAACCTTTTTTACCCCCTTTTCAGTCCCTTCTAGAGAGCAGGGACCTTCGTGGGAGAAAAAGGTTCCTGTGTCTGATTGGCTGGGCGGAATGCAAACCACGCCCCGTCAAACTCCCAAAAACGTTTGTGAAGCTGCCATTTTATTATCATCGCATTGCATTATTAGCATTAGCCCAGCGCAGAAACGCAGAGAGACTAACTTATGACAACACAAAATAAAACATGGGAGCGGTGGAGATGAGGAGGTGTCGGCGTTCTGGCCATTTACTCGGAAGGCCTCAGTAGAAGCTGCCAGTCCCCAACTCCGGGAACTTCCGACCGGGGACTTCGGGTGGCAGTATACGCCGTGAATTTGTTTGCGGTGTAGTGGGGCCGACACACCCACAAACCATTTCCTCCTCAG